ACCCTACAGCGATGATTTATTAAGTTTCAATGTATATTCATTAACCAGGAAGAAAAACATGAAATAAACTTTAAAAAGTACATGTATATCAAAGGATATTTTGTTATCCTTACAATAACAAAGATCATCTTTAGAATATCATAGCAGTTTAGAGTGATTCATGACAATTAACATTCAATTATTTAATTTAATTTCACTTTTTTATTATCAGCTGACTGTAAAGGTCCCATCATTTTGACTTCTTTCCCTAATATTTCAATAGGAAACTCTTTTGTATGTTGGGAAATGACGTCACTACTGTTTAGTCGCCGATTAACCTTTGTCACCCCTATGGTACATTATATGACATACATCACACTACAGAGCAGATAATACATGAATAACAATGGGATAATTTGCATATCTATACTTTGCCATTCAGTTATAAAAAGTAACAAATTGGAATAAAATTACCATAAATTATCAGATTATAGACTTTTACGAGCCGTACAAATCTACTAGAAAAGTCTTGGTACATTTTGAGAAAAAAAAAACGCCCTTTAAGCGGAATGTTTGTCGAACATTCTGAGTGAGATCTTGATTAAAACGATTCTCATGATGAGTTGCAGATTTACTTCTCGTCAGGAGTTTTGCTGCTGTGTTATCATAGTTCTGTCACCTTCTTCCAAAACTTGCAGGCGGTGGTCCTTCAATTTTAAGTGGAAAGGATTTTCAGACAATTTTATGCATCTCAGATAATGTTATAAACCTGAAGAAGATGTATACAATATCCACTATTATGTCAAGATCGTTTATTATTTGAAACTAATTAATAAAGAATCGGTTTCTAGACTTTTAAGGTACGCTGTGTTTTTGAGCAAGAATGTTTTGAGCTAAAAGACCTATAACGTACAATTCAACATCACAAACAAATTCCATGATATCCATTTTTAAGAAACCATCAGTTAATGATAATTTTTTAAGCGTTAGTGTAAATTATAACTGAGGTGTTAAATATTTTTTAAAAGTATATTTAAAAAATTCAGTAGTGGTAGTTATATTAATGACCTAAATTTATCATAAGTAGGTGCAGTTTAACTTTGAAACAAACATTTAAAATGATTTTCATAAAATAAACAGTTATGTCATATGCATTCGTATGAAAAAAAATATAAATTTACAAACGTATAATGAGGGGGGGGGGGGTACATTGATTTGTTTATGATGATTAAATGTAATATTCAATGTGACATTTAAATTAACGTCATAAAATGTTTTCTCATTTATGTATTCAATGAATATTGTGGAGCAAAAATATGATACGTGATGTTTTATGTATATAAGTAACTTTAAATCACAAATTATGTAACATATGGCAACTTTATCCTATCATTGATGAAAATAGCTTCCAGATTTTAAAGCGCAGAGTAGATAGTTTTTAGGAAACTAGGAAAAACTACATAAAATGCATAAGTATAATAAAAAAAAAAACTTTTATCCAAAACAGGAGAAATAATCATTAGAGAAAATACAAATGGTAACTTCTTTTTTCCGTTTTATTTTATGATGGTATTAATAATTGATATATTAACAAGGGAATAGATGTCATTAAAACAATTGACGTGATATGTATTGTGAATCTTTATCATCAAGACATGGACTCGTCTCTTTACAAGTTATCAAATGATACTCCACAAAGGCTTACTGTCATGTTATAAGTTATTTTAACTATAACCTATTTTTCATTACATATTTTACCAAATATAAAAAATAAAAAAACGTCCAAACACATTATTGCGACAATCCAGAATACATTGTTTTTTCCTTCTTGTTAATCGAAATTGAAAAAAAAAACTCTGATGAAATATAACGTAAAATCAATTATAAATCTGGAATATGCTAATCATATATATCTATTGTATCTAAAACACCCTTAAAGAGAACCAAGAACTATAAATCTTTCATGTTGTGAATTTCAAACTTACTGGGTCGAGGTAAATGCTGCAAAATATACAAAATAAATTTATACCAATATTTTTTCCATACTTATATATCATTAATAAATTCTTCATTTTCGAAATTTTTTTCGTAAAAAATGTGTCCCAAAGAATTGGAGTTAAGAATTAAGTCGTGACTTTTTCATTGGGACAGAAAATGACATCATTTATAAGATTTTAGTAAGTATATTTGCATATATCCCTCCAAGTAAAGTTTACAAGGAATAAAATGCTTAATTAAGTAGTAGTCCAAAATAATGAATATGGTTAATTATGATCTTTCTAATTTCGACTTTTTTATCGGTTAAACAACATTTGCTCTCTCGGGTGGTACCCCTGTTCTTTAGATAAGTTGGTTTTGAGTTTTACCTTCAATGGATAGCTCTTGCATGCATATTGTCTACCCGCTCTAGCTTTTACGAAGTGAGTCATATTAAAAATTCTGTCAATACAGTATTATATGATGTATTTACAAATTTCAAACACAAATTAAAAAGGTATAGGAAACGAAAAAGAAACCAAATTTTCCTCATTTACTTTCTGTTCGGAAATAAGTCATTTTACAATACATGTACCAATGGATTTTTCTTGACTATAGACGAAATGTGTTTGTTTCTTATTAAAAGCATTTATGATATTCTTATGACGGAGTCGTACATCTATGGGGCGCCGTTTTAGTATTTACTGCCAAAAAGTGTATTTCACCTATTTGATTTGAATACCGCTAGGTGATATCACTTTTTGGCAGTAAATACTAAAACGGCGCACCATATACATCTGTCTTATATTCATTTATATGTTTTATGCTTCTGTACCTCATGTACCATTTGCATGGTTTTGAGTGAATAAATTGAATTGAATTGAATTGTCTTGGATACATTAGTATTAGAGTTTGTTCGTTTGTAACATACATGTCAAAAGTAAAATGAAAGAAAGTGAATTAGAATTTTAAAAAAAGGGGGGGCAAGCATCACCACTAAGGATTGAGAATTAGGGGAAAAAATCATTACATCAACAAATTTGAATAGAGTTAATATGGCATGAACATATACCAAGAAATTCTCACACTTGTACTCTGTATTTGCTTATCAAATGATACTCCACAAAGGCTTACTGTCATGTTATAAATTTTGAATTTTCCGGGTGGCAGTAAATACAAAATTTACAACTTTACAACAAGACATTACAAAGAAAAGTCTTCCCTTTTAAGATTTTCATACAGAAGTTTGATATTGTTGAATAGCGAAATTGTGATTCAATATCTGCTGTTTTAAGAAAACTGTTATTTAGAGTTCCCTTTATTGGAACAAAACACTTTAGGGGGTTTAGTTGGTGTTTGTGTCTTACCACAAAGATATCTTTTTCGACTTTGTTTTCCATTTAAAATGACTTACATGTATGCAAGAAAAAGGCATATCTGTTGCAGTAAAATGACTCATATTAATGAGAAATTATTTTTGAATTTGATATAATTTTTGTTTTGATTTGTTTGTTTTTTTGTTGTTGTTGTTGTTGTTGTTTGTTTGTTTTGTTTTTCTTTTTGCTTTTGTCCTCCATTTTTGTTCTTTTTATGAATATTACGAAAAAAAACATGTCCCTGAATTTAAAACTACTATAGTGGGATATAAACAAAAATCTTAAGATGGGATAGTAAAGCTTAGACTGCAAAATCGGAGACAAGGGGATGTGCTGAGGAGATAGCTAAGAGGGAAACTGGAGCCATTGCCTGTGATTCCGGCTGTATAATAAATCTGGAATGCATGGAGTGGCGCAGTGGGGTGACACTACTTATACCTTAATCCTTTTTATTTCTTTTTTTCTTATTGTATTTTTCCGCATACCACCAGTCAGATAATTATTTTTTCATATTTCTTTTTAAAAAATTGCCATTTTCGTTGAATCACCACCTATTCTTATTTTTTCCTAAATTAATTTGAGTGATTGGTCTGGTTTCCTTTACAGAACATTTATCTACTGTTATTTTAATTTTAGAACAGCTGATTTTAGATCCAAGTTCCCTGGCGCGAGTTGTCATAGTGAAATGTTTGAAACGTCTGATTTCTTAAGTTTCAGACGACTTTGTCCCCAAAAGCTTTTTTATCAACCAGGGGAACATCTGTGACCTTTGACCTATTATTTTTGAATTTTGACATATGATTCGTCTTTGAAGTTTGTGGATATCGATCTTTTTGAAGAAAAAATACACCTGATGATTATTTTATAGACGGATGTCCTATTCTGATATTTGTATTTTTTGCTTTAATTTCCGCACAGCAAAGCAATCTCGATTCGTGCCCATAGAAAATATTACCTGGGCTACCTGTGTTTCTATCAATGAAAAACGGCCTCGTACTACACACACACGTGCTTTAACCATTTATTACTTTTATGAATGAAGGAGGCGGGATTATGGCGGATTTGATATCAGAACATGAGTTTCTACAACTGTGTGCTAAGATAGCGTTAAAGTCATGAAGTGTAACAACTGTTAAAAGAAAAACCTCGAGTGATCAAGATTGTGAAATTAAAAGAGTTATACCAATCGTTTATTGTAGAAGCACTGAAAAATTTACCGAACATTGAAATTTTAATCGCAGTTTACAGAACATAGTTAATTGCTTCTTTTGTCTTTGATCCTGGTTGTGTTTTTCTTCTTAAGACAAATATGCATTTCTTACGTAAAATTGTTTATTGGCGAATTCCATTGATCAAAAAGAAAACTTGTACATTTTGATTAGAACACATTAAAATACGAGAGTAAATATTGTTTGCCAGTCAACAGCCCAATGTTAAAAAATCGGAGTCAAAACATAACAAACTTTTTAGCAAATGTTACTTTTGACCAATAAAAATCTATGCTGTCCTAATTTATTCCAGAAGCGTATAGCATTATGATGTCAAGGGCTTAATTGAGAATTTCATTGGTTTACCGACAAGCGACAGTTCACCGTATGCGTCAGCCCCATTGTAAAGGGGCGGTCCTACGGGCTTTATTTTATGCGAATTGTCCGTTTATCTGGAGTAACAAGTTGCTTCAAACTTTAGTTTACAATCGCATGACATGAAGAGAGCACTTGCATTATAAAAGATTTTGCTTACTTGTACATTTTGAAAACACAGTGATTTACTGAAACACGCGCCTCAAATTTGAGAATTCACAGGAGAAAGACACTTTTGAGCATTAAGACATTCGTTGTGGGAACTTTTAATTTTTATATGCAGATGAAAATGAGCGACACCGATGAAGGGAGAGGATCGCCCTGTACCCAGCCCTCTACTGAACAGCTTCTGAAAGCTGTCCGTGGAGCAGGGCCTTTAACAGACGAAGCCATCCTTGGTAAAGCTGGCTTGGATGATCCTGTTAAGTTTCCGAAGCAAATTCAGGATGCTGTTTCACAAGTCTTAAAGGGATACGATTGGTCTTTGATCCCCATGCCCCAGAGAGGACCCAACGGAGAGAAGAGAAAACCCCACATCAAGAGACCCATGAACGCCTTTATGGTGTGGGCTCAGGCTGCAAGGAGAAAATTAGCCGACCAGTACCCCCATCTTCACAATGCCGAGCTGAGCAAAACTCTCGGCAAGCTTTGGAGGTAAGCTGGATTTATCACTTTCACGAAACCTTAAGATCCCAGAATTGATTTACTGGAGACGATATAAAATGATATTTGATGCCGTTATGATTAATTGGAATGAAGTAATACATTATCTTAGGGAAATCTATGGGAAAGGAACAGGTGACCATACCGTTGAAAAATTATATTGTAAAATTTCTAACGGTAAAAACCCGGGCCAGTTTGTTTCTCCGTCGCCTCTGGTAACTGTCAATCCAATCGCATCAATTTAATCTACTTTTCGACAGCAAACCCTCGTTTTTATCTGCCACTTACATACTAGAGAAGGATAATTGTAATGTAGGTCTAGCTGTGGTCGTCGAAAATCGGCTCGTTCCCGTTGACAGTCGAGTTGGTTCGCTGCGACATTATTTTGGTGCACTTTTTGTACAGAAAGGTCGCAGGTTGGAGACAAGCCATATATCATCACTTTTGCAAAATCGGAGACTGTATGACGAAAGGTTAGACGCTACAACATTATGACACTTAAACATCATAATGTCATTTCGCGTCGACCCCCGCAAATCGTTACACCCATTTTCATCCCAAAATTCAGTTACAGTATTCTTATAAAGGCGTAACCGTTTGTTATATGTAACGTATATATTTATTAGAAAAGAATAAGAGTAATTTGATTCCTGTCAGACTTTATTCACAAACGGTAGTTTTGAGCAAAATCAACTATTAAAAAACTTCTAAAATGATTCAAATGTCCTCAAAAGCCCCTGGAATATAATCTGCTGTGTTTGACTTTTTTATGTAATCTGACTTTCTGTTTAATTCTTCAGAAGTGATGAAATCGGGTTAGTTCTCCCGACTACTCTTGTGAGGTCCTCGTTTTGAGTGGCGTGAAACATTCAGATGATGTATAGAGGCATTTCCGATAGAAACAGCATCGGGAAACAAATCTTGCATTTAATCTCAACTAATTTTTCTGACCACTTTATTTAATAATGATAAAATGCAAAGGCATTTCCTGAATTAGGTGCTTGTCCTCGCCTTTTCTCGAATGGTAAATTAACTTGTATTCATCGTAAACATTTATTAAGCGTCTTCATTTTGCTAAGCGAGAACAGAATAATTAGAGATAAATAAGTTACATGTGAGATTTATTATGTATATATGCTGACCCATTTCAGGTAAATAATAAATTTATATGGGATTTGAGAGGCTGTCTCGCGGCTCTTTCCTAAGTTTTACGTCAAATCCATCTACTTATTTTTCTACTTGCTTCACCGTGTAATCGACGTCACGCATACAATTATAACTCGAAAACATAAAAGCCGACAAATATACAATTAAAATTCATCAGATTCACATCAGAAATATATGAATTATATGCCTCTTACCAAGAAAGTTCTTCCAAATGTTGTATAATTTTAATCCTGATTATTAGTATGCAACCTAAGATTTTTTTTTTTAGAATTATTATTAGAATCGACACTAAATCTTTAGACTTCAATATAACCCATGTCACAGCAAAGTACTCGTGATATTAACGTACTAACTAAATTAACATTTACAATTTAACATTTTCTAATTCTGTAAAAAATTATACTAAAATCGATCTAAATGATGGAATATAATTGCCCTAGACGATGTTGATATTAACATATTCAAGGAATTTTCCGCTTTGCAATAATTTACGACACCAACGAGCATTCCATTTCTGGCGCACTTTTCACTGAGAATTAATAGGAAAATTGAATATGTGACAGGCTATCTATGATTAAAATAAAAAATTAAGTCTTTTAATATATTTTAAAATTAAATTCAATTATGGTAAAAAAAGGAAAGAAACCCTAAATAGAATGTTAATATTGAGGGCAATATAAATTATTTTCGCTAACTCCCTATTCTGAACTACGAGTTACATCAAGATTTGGATTAACTTTTTTTTTTAATCTATCGCAAAATAACTGGTAGGTGGCCATCGAAAGCACTTGCTCCCTTCGATACACTTGGTCAACGCGGTAGCTCAAGGTGCAAAAGGCAGGTGCTAATGTGCATGTAATATGTGCATAAAAATGTATGTTCGACCGCCGAACCATATCGATCAAACAAAATACACCTCCTAAGCACCTTAAGCGATAAGCTGGGAAAGGAAATGTTATTTTGTGTGTGATTTTTCTCCCTTTCGTTTGTGATGTCAAAAATGACAATCATCACAAACACATAATGTCCTGAGTTTGACATTGCTAATTATTCACTCCTGACGTCATATTTGGCATGTGTTATATTGGTTGAAACGTTACACAAGAAAAAAATTGCAATTAATAATAACGGCAGTATAATATTCATTAGAAGCCTTTTAAAATCCATTTAGTGTTTTAAAAAATTGTTAATTTCTCCCATTTTGACAAAAAATATTATTTTATCTATTTATAGACTTTTGAACGAGGATGAAAAAAGACCATTCGTTGACGAAGCCGAGAGACTCCGAGTACAACACAAGAAGGACTATCCCGACTACAAATATCAACCCCGCAGACGAAAGCCTCTGAAAAGTGCCAATGGCAGTCCAGCAGAATCCAATGGAAACATGTCACACGCAATGATGTTCAAGGGAATGCAAGGATCTCCCAATGGCATGAGTGATGGGGATTCCAGCGATTGTTCCTCCCACAACAACCACGGGCCACCCACCCCTCCCGCTACACCCAACCAACACGATCTGATCAACCTTAAATCCATGGCTGACCGCATGCGCGCGGTACGCCATATTTCAGGTACACATACTACGAGTATTTACTTTACAATTTGATGCTTTGTTAAAGTGGCTTTTTGTATTTTGCAACTAATACTTGAACTGAAAATGAATCACTTTTTTGAAAACTATATTTGTCTTATTCTTATTGTAGGAGGGCATCAAAATCCAATAGATTTCAGTAGAGTTGACCTAAGGGAAATCGCCCCGGAGGCAGTGGCCTACAATGAACTGGAAGAATTCGACAGATATTTGCCAACCACAGCTGCCAATCCAATTATACAGGGGGACAGCGATCAGTATACTCCCTATGGTATGACGTCAGTCACAACTACTACGTCATCTTCCTGGACCAGCTCTTACAGACCCCCAGGATCCATGTGCTTGCCAACCTACAACATGACACAAAATAATGACATTTCTACCCCCTACGACTTGTCCAACCATCATTCACCGCCAAGCGGTAACCCTTCTCAGTCTCCAAACATGCATAGTCCATCATATCAGAGTAGCGCCAGTGACTGTAAATATTCGGATCACGAGGAATCTAATCCTTCCGTGAAACTGGAGCCGCTAAGCGGACGTCACCAATCTTCAAGCCAACAGTACAACTACAGTATGTCTCCGCCTCCACGATATGGCATCGACAGTCACCATGGCAACTCATACGTGTCTCAAGGCAATAGTTCCTATTCCTCATCCTCCAATGCTGGGTCTCAGTCGTACCAATTCATGGGCATGAACCGTCAAATGTTCAACCCAATCCCTGCAGCCGTACCTTCGGACCAACAGTGGGATAGATATGCTTAAAAGGACATTTCTGTTCATCGGACTTAACTGTATCGCTGTGATCTCTCGTAACACCTCGTCCGTGCTCTATTTGTTATTTCTGTGCGAATGCTTGCTAGTAAACTCTACAAGAGATGGATAATTGGGGGGTTTCCGAAGAAACGTGATAGCCTTGGTGTTTCTTTCATATTTTTGTGTGCACGGATGACAAACTATGTAACTTATCCATTTTTTATTACTTTCTTATGTTTATGACTCACAGAGAAATAAAGTCCCCTTGACAAATCATGCCATTTTGTTGTTGTCACCGGTGCTAAGCTACAATCCAGTATTTAGTTCTGTGTGACATTACATTTTGTTTAAAAACAAGACTTTGATATCGTATATTTATTTTTATATCTTTTATTGCCAATTTTTTGTTGTATGTCTTCCATTTTATATTTGATATTCAAATGACTTGATTGGGAGAAATCAATCAACTGCTGTTTGATATTTATCCTTTATGAAGACGCAATCGAAAGAATTCTATGCATTTATTATCATATATCATTTATTAATTTATGTATATTTTGATACTGTTGTATATATTTGTAAGAAATAAAATGATCTTCCAAGAAGAAAATATAGTCGTTAGTCTGTGTTAAACTTCATCTGTATTGATGAATGGCCGGTTTGATGTTTATTTGTTGAAAATGAACAATAACTTTTGACTTAATTAGATGTACACTTCTTTAAAAAATACAGCAAGAGTCATTTTAGTTCACCAGTGTATGATTTTCAGTGTTTAAAAGGGGAAATTTCTTAATCATTTTACGGGGTGAACGATTGTCCAAGGAAATCTTATCTTAATAATTAAAAAAAAAAATAAGGAAAATTACTCAAACAAATGTAAACCAAAACACCCCCGCTAAGAGGGTCACAATGTCGAAAACAATCGGCAACCTTTAAAACCATCAATAAGAAAATTATCAACATGATACCTCTTTGCAAAAGGGATTTTACTGTGCAGTTTTACCGGAAGTGAATGAAATTGACATGCGTACTTGTATGATGACGTTAAACTCTAGGATTGATTTTTTGGAAACAACTTCCTTGTAAAGTACGAAGATTTCTATTTTTGATAGTTTGATCACTAAATATAAGGTGTTTTCTCCTTATTTTTGACATTATTAGACGTCTCCCTTCGCCTACATACCAAATTTCATCGATATTTTGGTTGACCCTCCTACATGTATTACAATGTAAAAGTTGTCAAAATATGGTCATACTGAAATTCTTGTTTATTTTCCGGCACTGGAATAATATCGGGATTCGACATTAATAAAATAATTTGATCAAAATTATTTTACCAGTAAAAAAAATCTTTAAATCTGAAGGAGAATCGCGAAAGCTTATAAATCATACCCCAAAAATTTAGAATTTTCAAACTGATCATCTAGGCTGATATCTAAGTCTCACGCTGATTTGAAATTTAGTTGTCGTTTATCCATGATTTATGGTGTACTTTTGCACTCGAACTCATAGCTAAAGGATAAATATCTTCATGGTAAATTTTTATATATACATGTATATTCTAGATATTATTTCGCTGCTTAAGGGATAAATTGCTTTCCTTGCGTCAAAAGAAGGGATTTTTCCTTTTTGTGCAATATTGCACGCTACATTATTTGTACAATTTTGTTTTGTTTCCCATTATGTACATTCCCTTTCCCAAAAGATATAAAATCAACATAAATTTAAAAAAATCCTTTCTATTTATTTTTTCGTTCAATTGTAATTAATTAAAGGTTTCAATAAAAAAAATCAAATTTTTGATACCTAGATATTGTTTGTTTTTTATGTTCAATTGGTTCGCTTGGAATATAGAAAAAAATATTTACTCCAAGAACATTTGCATGAATGAAAGATTGAACGACTGGGTCATGTATTTCGAAATAAAGAAAAATGAGGGAGAGGGTATTGACATGTTATAATGCACTATTATCTTCATGCTCCTTTTGATTAAGTGATTCTGAAAAAAAATGTTTGTTTTAAGGACAGATGGTACAACCAAAAAAATTATAAACCTTCCAAGAAGTTCAAAGTGCTGCCTCTCTCAAACCATCCTTATTAATCTAAACAAATATTTTTTCAGTTCAAATCCCATTTTTATGAAAATTTGAATAAAAAATTAAATACTACGTGGTGAGACCCATTCATTTTAATCATTAAAACATAACTGAAGTTATTATTTTCAATTTTTTTGACAAAACTTTCTATTATCTGTCCTTAATTTCATGTCCAGTGTTCAAAGCGCCTTTTGCCCAGGATCATACAAATAAACTCATCTCGCCAAAAACGATAATTATAAAGTATTTTCAGACTTTTATTGATTATAAAATATTTTCAAAAATACTGCCTTTCCAATCTTGATATTTCTTCTATTTGTATTTTGATTTTTTTTTAATGAAAACTTAAATTTTACAACCTGTTCAAAATGCTATATACCTGAATAAAAAAAAGTTACTAGATGGATATTTTTTCTTCCATACCAAATATATGTAATATCAATATACCAAGAAAACAAATTTTGCAGATAAGTAGATATTTGATTAATATAAACATCTACATTTGATGCCATCCACTCCAATTTAATACGCATTTCAAATTCAAATATATGTCTGATTTATATGTCATGTGGATTTGTTTAATTAATCACTTATATGCTAATTAAACACATCAACGGTGTTTAATGCTGTCTGTTTACTAGTATGTCACTTTTCTGATAAATTATAATTTAATGCCAATTTATCATAACATTTTAAATGAAACCAATTAATGGTTTCATAGGAAAAAAAGATGAACGAGATGTTTTTAATTTTTTTGGACGGAAAAATACAATACATGCATAAATTTTCCAAATGTACTAATTATTTAATTTTCTTTTCTAAAATTACTGGTGAATTTTTGTATTTTATTTCTTGACGGTTCAAAAAATCTTTACCAGAACATATTGAAATAATTTGTTTAAAAAATGAGACATTGACAATTTTTTTTTTTATCAAAATAAAATGTTTTAGGGAGACACATTCTTTTATCCTTTGATCTAAAATTTATTCTTGTTTACCTCAGGTGTATATATATATTAGTTTTTTTTGCTAATTTTCCGCTTTAAATTCGAAAATATTTCCTTGGATTTAAAGGCATTAGTTATTCCTTCCTTTTTCTAAATGACGGATTACTTTCAACTTCCATTCTTTTAAAAAAAATTGTAGATATTTCACCTTTTGTCGTCAAAAATAGCGAAATTGCCTCAAAAGTACACTGCACGGGTGACGGTTTTCTTAAACACATATATAATACATTCAAGAATTATCCAGTCTTAAAGTGCCCGAAGAAATAATATCGTAATATATATTCCACTTTATTAGAACTTGCAGATTGTGACGTCTTTTGAATTTAAAATGTCAATGAATATATTTAACAGCGTGATTACGTACAAACAGGTGAAGCTACAAAATACATTTTTAATTTTCAATCAAATTTAGTTGATTTTTTTTATTTATGTTTTCAAATATATTTTTTCCTTAATAATATCACCAGTTTGAAATGTTATTTCCTTATTAGTCATATGAAATCAAAATTCCCTTTAAGTTACGAAATAGGTAAGGGTATTTATTAATTAAAAATGACAATTAATTACGATAAATAATAAATACACTTGAATCAAATAGGTTCGGTATTTTGAATTCACTAAATTCAATTTTCCGAGAAATGATATTTTTCTTTTATGTATATAAATGGACGAAAAAAGAAAAACAATTTAGTTTCAATCTATCGTAAACACTTAAAATTTTTTGACAAAAGCGGTTATTGTTTATTGATTGGCAAAGTTTACAAACCGGTTGGCCTTATGCATCCTGTCACGCGAAAGCTACTCAGACTCTTATAAAACTGTTTATATATATTTGATGTGAACATAGAGAATTTTTCAAAGGCAAACCAAATTGATGTTAGAACATGCAAGATCTTTGATATCATATCACAAATTTGCCGTCCCTGAAAAAGGCCATTGAAACATGCGCAGCATAGTGTAAAGAGCTTAACTTTTAAACCTATTTAAAGCAGACTGTATTTTTTGTTGTCAGTAGAATATTAAGATATGAAAAAGGAAAATCATTTTTTATATATCATGCTGTCTATATAAGATTTTCCTTCCTCAGTCTTATGGTGAAATTAATCACTGGTTTTTTCTTTAAAAAATCAATTAAATTTAAAGTTGCATTTCGGTGAATTAAGTTATTAAGCGTAACTTTCGTCTGGGGATAAATATGTCTAAAATGGGCGAATTCAAGAAGTAGCTTAGTTTATCGCATTGTCAATAATTTGATTTTTAAGAAGAGAAGATTATTCGATACTCTCTCTCTCTCTCTTTTTTTACAGCGCCCACTTAAAGGTAGCTAGACATGTATAAGCAGGTTTTGCGCAGTACCTTTAAGAACATGTGAAGGGGAATTTTCGCATCTTTATAACACCACCGATGTTGTCATTTTTACGCAATTGGACATGACCCATATATGATAGACGTGTGGTTTCTAAAAATGTTTTTCTCTTTAGACCTTGCACTTGGTAAACTCACACAATGGTTCCAAAATTTCATATTTTTTAATGGAGTTTTATCTTTTTTTAAAAACCGGAAAAGATCATTATGGGAGGTTGTCTAATTTAACTTTTTCATTGCCAGTAAAATTTATTCTTTTTCTCATTATGACACGTATGTAAAAGACCTTGGTAATTTGTATGCGAAGAGACACATGTCGTTAATTCACCTGTGACGTAAAAAGGAGCAATACCGGCAGGGCACCTTCGATGACGAAATATCATTCTACATTTTTATTGGTCAAAAGTGATGTAATTTCTATATTATAACAATACTTAGATAAAAAATAATACTAAAAAAAGGTCGAGTGAGAGATATGAATCAAAACAATCTAAATTAGTAGAGGCGCCAAAAATAAAAGCGACGGAACTTCTGTACCAGATAGTTTACTACCGGTATATGAAATTCAGTCAATATATGTTAAACACATTTTTTTAATTTGTTTACGTTTGGTTTATAGAGACTGTATATCTTTGGCTTTGTATTCTGTGCTCCTGTCTATTTTTTCTTTATTAATCATGTTGTCATTTTTTATTATAAAAATACATTTTATTTTGCGGAAACTTAGAGACAAAACATTGAATATTGACCATAATGTCCAGTCTTTTCCGGCATTAGTGGCAGCTCGTGTCCATTTTTGACCTGTCTACCGCCACAACTGATGAGAAATGTTGCGTCGTACGTGTTTAGATCGACAGTTGTAAACACATTTTATGTTAATAGTCACATGGCGACCAAATG